AGTTACAAAAATTTTTAAGTTCGTTGAGACAAAAAGGGACCCGTCCAACTCATACGCTGGATGGCATACATACGATGACGATACTGTATGGTACGAACCATTTAGAAAAACTTCGAATTCATCGGGATGAAAAGAGACCCATCCAATTCATACCCTAGATGGCACGCGTATGAATGGTACATCATAAAGAATGATCCATACTTAGAAAAAATCTTCTTTCTATTCGTTTGATTGCTCATAGGGAAAATAACTGAACAAATCATCCCGTACAAAATGACTTCGTAGAGTATGATCAATTTAAAAATTGCAAATTTTAAACTCTCCCCCGGTGTGTGCATGTACGGTTACTCACTTATAATCACACTCTCTAAAACTCAATAAAAATGAAAAATACAAACTTTATTTACAGTAAACCCTAATCTGATCGGATTTGAAATCTTCAATAATCTAGAGTATAATTTCCTTGAAATTTTAGTACACACAAATAGCAAAACAATACATCAAAAATATATTAGGAGAAATAATAATAAAAGAAATAATATTTGAAATCATAAAAAAATATATATTTTGTAAGAATATCAATAATCAAGAACTAAGTTGCAACTATCTCAACAGAGGCCATAATTACAAATATTTCCCTAGGAATAAACCTTAAATAAGTTTAATTTCAGAAAGAATTAGAGCTTGAAACCATAAAGCTTTTGTAAGTCACCTCAAGACCTTTCCAATGAGCCTAAGAACACCCTAATTAGATAAGTGTGTGAGGATATATAGATTTTTTAAGTTTATTTATTTTTTATGAAATTAATTAAGGATTTACACAGTCAGCCACACTTTTCCATACAATGTTATATTATTGGGTATACAATTATTGGTGCTAACAGTATTAACATGGGATTAACTATATCCATTGAATGCAAGATAAAATGGCTATGATATAACATGATTCGGGACTATGGGTTTTAATCAGAGCTATTAATTAAGTTCAACAGCTCTGATTTCATATTCAACCTCCCACACACACACTAATCTATAAGGCTTTTCTAGCATGATCCGAGAGATCTGCCTAGCAAAATGCTACCAAATTTCATAGAGAGCATCAAGGGATCATAAACATTTAATCTAATGGGTAGAATTCAAAAGGCTGAAAGTTCACTTCACACTTGATCAGACTACCTAGCTAAGGAGCACATCATTAAACCACTATGTCAGGAAATGCTTCAAATGCTAGAGCTTGAGTTCATGTAGCTTTATCCGACGTCAAGGAACTATAGCTGGAGGATCACTTGAGGTAGGACTTTGAACTTAGACATAAGAAGTTTGCTAGAGCTCGCTTGAAGTCACTAGAAATGAGCATGGTAGAGTTTGGGAAGCTAGGGGAGCTTCATGCAACTCTGGGGAGTGTTTTCAAAATGAGAGGATGCAATGGGAGAGTCTGAGTGAGGGTACCCTACTCAGACCTTCTTAATGGAGTTTTGACCACCAGGATTGTTGAAGTAGAGCCTTTGATGGCCACCAACTAGAGGAATAGCTCACGGAATGTTTCATGAACTCAAAAAATGGTTTCATACCTAAAAAGGCCCTTGGGTTTGGCTCATGTGTGGAGGTGACCACTAGCGGTTGGTTTTACTTGCTCCGGCCGCCGCCGACCACCGCATTAGAAGGGTGATGTGGAAAGGTGTCTAGAAGCACACTAAGCCTAATGCATGAGCCACTTGTGACTAGTTAATACCAATTGGGCGATGTGGATCAGGAAGGAAGTTTGGGGACCCTTTTGGCTACCCTGGTTCTTAACCCAAGTAAAACAAAGGGCTGGGCAGACCATGGGAGGAGCATAAAACCTAGGGCTACCTAATGCAAGTATTGGTTTAGCTTGGTGAAGCCTAGGTTAAAAGTTGGTTCAAACCAAAGTGATTTTGGTCACTTTGGGGTTGGCCTAACTCCTAGCCCAAGTAGACCCAAAGGGTGAACCACTTAGCGTAAGAGCTTAGGATCATAGAATACCTAGTGAAAGACTTAATTTGGTTTGAATCAGCTCAGGTTAGGTTTTGGCTCAAGAGAACCCTCTCTTGGCCACTTGGGTTTAGCCATGTGACTAGCCCAAGTGGACCTAAGGGTTGGGTTTCCAATGGATGGGTCTTAATGACCTAATGAGCAATACCAAGGGTTTAGCTTAGGTTGGTGATTATTAGAGCATTGGATTTGAGTTAGGTTTAGGTTTATGTTTAATTTGGTCAACATGGTTGAATTGGTTAACCAAGATTGACCAAGGGTTGGGGTTTGGTTCAACTAATTAAAAATAGTATTTTGGACCCAATGGAAGTGGTCCCATAGAATGGGAAGGATTTCTTGCATGAAATGTATGTTTGAACCCTTAAATGGCTATTTGGTTATATGGTTAACTTAGTCAACCAAGCTTGACCAAGCCTTAGGTTTAAATTTAATATATACCAAATAATATTTGGAATATATTGAAAAAGTTTTTAAAGGTTGTTTTGAATGAGCCATGTTGAGGCTTTTATGAGAAGGTTTGATTTTTGGGGGTTTGGTGTTTTAGGCTCAAGTTGTCCCATTGTTAACCATGGTCAACCAAGGTCCAACAAAAATTTAGTATTGGGTTTATCATGTCATAAAAACGTTCATGAACATGTTAAATGATTTTTGGGAGATTTCCAAGGTCAAATTCCATAAGATGTATGGTCCAATGGCATGAGCTATAAATATTTGAAGGTTTTACAGCTTTTGGAATTGAATTCAGTTTTGGGAGTTAGAGAGCTTGGATTGCTTCCAAATTTGGAAGTTTTACCCTAGGGACATGTTCAATCAATATGCAATTGATAAATTAGGAATCAAAGGTAATTTGTTTTGGTTTTTGAGGTGATTAAAAAATCACTCAAAATAGGTTGTTGGATAAGGGACTTCGGCCTTGACTATTAACTTGAAATTTTGGATTTGGGTTTTGTTTTGAATTTGGTTGATGGGATTTGATATACTCATCTCATTGATAATCATTTAGGTGATTGCCAATGATAAAGTATGAGGGATCAAATGATAACCATTAGGTGGCCACCAATTTAAGGGATTTGGGTTTGATTTTGATTTGAGTTCTGATTGAATTTGAATTTTGTTTAGTTAACCTCATACAAAAATTTTATCAATAAGGGAGACTAAGGTGTGTGGTTGTGGAGAAATCGAGCTCCTTGCTTAGTTAGTCTCGGTAGGGCAAGGTGGGGCTCCCTGAGTGGGCTCTTTCCTATATTTAAACCTTTTAAATCTGTACGAGGATGATGGCTCTAAGAGTTAGAGCACATTATCAAAGAGTTGATTCATGTGTGTGGTGGGTGCCAAGTTACTAGCTTTATGTGGAATCCTCAATTCACCCTATGTAGAATAACCTACATGAATGGCTTGTGTGAGTAGCTCTTTCCGATCAACTAGATGTGTTCTCTCCCAGGTCTTAGGCTAGTAGTGCCTCTCAAATCGTTAGGTAAGTTTCCCAAGTGGGTCTCTTTGGGGGAAATTCCTTTGCTACGATTAGGGGCAAAGCTTAAAAATTTTATGAGTGGGGGCACAAATTAATGATTTTTAAAATATTCCTAGCAATGGATTTTTTTTATTAATAGGGATGTTAAATTTAATGAATCGGACATATTTCAGTAGAAGTTAGTGTAGATTGATGATTCGAGAAGATATTAGATAGAAAAAAAATGAAATGTTATATTTGAAGTGGAGCATATACAATTAGCTGATAACCCACCACAACAGCCTACCATGCCTGAACTTCAGAAGGAGGTAACATTGTGACACTCAAAAGAAACTAGTACTCACTTATTAAAAGATAGATTAGAGCACATAAGAGATTTATATATAAGGATCCCTCCTGTTCTTACATGGTTGCTTATGCTTTGAGTGTAGCAGTGTCTCTAGTGATCAAGAGCAAACCAATTTTGAGGATGGTGTCGATGGAAGTTAATCAAAGCAATAGACCACAACTATGGTGGAGGGACTTGAAGGAGTCTTTACAAAAGAATGAGATTTGAGAACAAGTTCAACTCCCTAACAGAAAAATATTGTTGGCGACAAATGGATCTACAAGCATAACGAGGGAACCTGGAGTGAAGATAGCATCCAATATAGAGCACAATTAGTTACAGAAGGCTATAGTAAAAATGAATGTGTTGACTTCAATGAAGCTTTGGTGATTTAAGTAAATTTGATTATCCATTTTATTTTTTTTTGATATGGAGGATATGATATGAGGAAGGATTGTTGAGTTTATATCAAATAGAAGGCGCAAACTTGTAATTCTTTAAAGCTTTAATCCTTATCTCCTCATATTCCTACTTATTCTAAAAATCAGATGAACTACAAAACTTGAAAATAGTTGCGACCCTTGGACCAATTGTTGTTCATAGTGTCAATAGTGTTAGATAGAAAGAGATGTGGGTTTCGTTATGCCACCTGACGGTAAAAAGAATAAAGTTTCCAGCAATCGAGCTAGGATGCCAATTCAAATTGTTCGCAGTCAAGCAAATCCTTTTGTTTATTTTATTCTTAAAGATTTGACTAGAGGGATTTCTCCTTTTGTCCTTTGGCTTTCTTTTGAGAAAGGTAAGTTAAAGATATTGGTTAGATCTCCTCCATTCTCATTAATTTTGTAAGAAGAGAAATTGATTAGTTTGATAAGTGTTCTCAATTTCTATTCCTCCATATTTGGACAGTGGGATTATTTGTACCTCCTTTCCTCATTGACGTAAATTAATATTAGCATAAACTAATGAATCAAGATATTATTTTATCTATGTTTACTTTTACTATTTTATATTATATCTACATATGGGTGTTAGTTGCATTAATGTATTCAAACGAAGTTTCTGTTTTCTTATGTTTCAAAGAGAAGGGCTCCTTTTACGCAGAGAAGTTGTAGAACTCACTCTCTAATATTGTGCTACATGCCTACAATTTACAACAATTTATAAATCAAATTAAAAAGCCAGCATCGAAATTTAGAAACTTCAAAAGCAAAAAAGACAGACCTCAATTGTGCCAACAACATATTCTGACAAAACTGCAATTATAATTGTAAAACCGACCAACCAAATTAATGCACTAAGAAATCCCATGACTGTCTCATCTTCTGATACCACATCATCATTGTCATCATCCTCCTGATAAATAGAAAAATAAAAATGATTCCTTTGACAAGATGAATTATAAGTTGGAAATATATATTTAATCATGCATAAGAGAAAATACTTTAATGGTAAATGCTACCAATCTTCAGTTCATAGGCTGACTAATGTCTTACCTCTGGTGACTCAAATAGTTGGCGATGGGTCTTCAATTGGAAAAAAAGGTAAGCCATGTAGGTGGCTAGCATCACAATGCTGCAAACTCTTGATAGTGCTAAAGTAGGGACAATGGCTACATTTTGCTCGCCAGTGGTCACAGCACATCTAAACAATAGTAGAAGCACATGACACAGTGCGCCCAGCATCAGGAGGCTCGTGTTTACATTAGCTTGCTTCTAAAAAAAATAGAATGAGAATATTAGATATGAAATAACACAAATGAAATAAAGTCCTAACTATCGAAATATGAGAACTTGAAAAATAAGTTCTTCATTTTGAAGGAAAAAATAAACTTTTATTCGGTGAGGTTTCTATATACCCGGTCAAAATATTGCTCTTTTCGGAGGTTAGCAATGCCACCACAGAAGAGGGAGGAACCAAGAACAAGAAGCAAATTGGAGAGGATTGAACCAATCAGGGAGAACTTGACCACTTCAATCTTACCCTTGTGCAGTGCAAACAAAGCTATGATAAGTTCTGTTGCATTCCCACATGTAGCATTTAGTAGGCCACCAACTGTAAGTGCATGTATTCCCTCTACCATAAGTGCATGTATTTAAAATAAGAGTGCTAAAAAAAAGAGTTGTTAAATACCAGTAGGGCCAGTGTAGAACGCAATTTGCCTGAGTCATCAATACAAAAAATAAAAAAATGAGTTATTTGATATGATATGGATAAGATAAAGGACTAAAGCATCAATCTTGAGTGTCACCCATGCATAAGCTAGATATATACTAACCAATCATAGTACAAATGAAATTTTAATAATGAGAAGAAAAAGTGTTGAAAGAGCAATGCAAAAACATAGATTTCAAAGTGACATTGGATCCTAATTGTAAGCATATAGAAGATGTTGCTTGAGGTCTATGAAATGGTATGTATGTATGACAAGTTGTTGTAGATCATGATGAGTTACTTTGGCTTGAATATACAACTTTAAAAAAAATTAATTTCACATCAAGAAATTGCATTTTTATCATCTAATTTTTTATTTTACATTGAATTTTCTTTTCTTATTATACAGGTTGTATGAGAGTGATAATTAATCCCACATAGGAAGTGAAACAAAGATTGCATTACTAACATACTAATAGTCACTCTTACCGATTAGTTTGAGCTTTTGAGTTGATACATCCATTAGCATATTGAGCTCAATTTGGACATGCTATTTCACCTTGGTAACACTTATAGCCTTAGATTAAGAACATAATTACATTCATTTCAAAACTTATGACATTTTGGAATAGGATTATAGTAGGATTAAATCAAAAAGTTAATTTCACCATTGGCAATATCCTTATTTCTTAATCAAGGAAATCTTCTTGATGAATTCCCCCCAATTATGACTTAACTCTGCCTAACCTAAACCTAACCTCACCCATGATTAACCAAGTACTACATTGTCTTCTTGCATGAGAAAGCCATTATATATTTTGGAGCACAGAGATAAACTTCTCTCCTCCCACGCTCGATTACCCAACAAACGTGATGAGCTGGCCCTATGCCCACATGTCATTGCTCCCTAGCAACTAATCACATCCATAGTGGATTAGCTTTGCACCAGTGATCCTTATGCCCTCATATCATTGCTCCATAGCAGAATGCCACGTTCGTTGTGGTTTTTCTCTGCACTAGTAAGCTCTTGCTTATCTTTTCATGTATGCAGCTTCCACTAGTTGCTCATTGCGGCTTGTTATTGATCGGGTTTCCTTCTCAACCTTCATTCTAGTTGTCACGGCTGTTGCATTTAAGTCATCATCTTTACCTCTCCAGTTTATTGTGTTCCACTCACACGCTCTTTGGCACTCGCTCATATGCCATTTGTGTTGCATTTAATACATCCCTTTCTTTGCGAAGACCATTTTTCATCTCGTTTCTTGTGGCTTTACTTCCCAGCCCTTGTGTGAAGGTTCCTAAACATGCTTTCTCTTTACCCATTCCTCTACACCTATCATATTTGGATGATCCAGCTATTCATGATGGTCATTTCTCTCTGAATGCTAGCGCTCAGCCTCCCAGATCATTTGCCCTCTCTTTTTCCTTCGCAGGAGCTGTTAGGTGGAGGGTTCCTCAAAGTTGAACTCGCTTGCAAGTTTTTTCATTCTTCCAACATGGCAAGAGTTCTGTTAAGCACAAGATAGCAACTATCTTATATGATAAAACTACTCTAATTTTTTCGAAGCCTGAGATTTCTCCTGAGATTTCTAATATGACATCTCCATTTTTCTACATTTTGGTTGACGATTTTTTCTTTATACATAACAAGCTTGGAGATTCTTCGTCCCATCATGTTTGATTTTTGTTCGCTAGGTGACTACCCTATTAAGTTCTTGATCGATGTTACATGCATATCAAACTATCTTTGGAATTATTTTATACTAGACTTTTCTCATTGTGCTCATATTATGTGAATAACCTATAAATGTAAATGCTGAAGTGATCTTCATACTTTGATACTTATAAGGAGCCTCTATCACCCTTGTTTGGGTTCTTTTTATCTCATATTTGGGTCCACTACATCAATCAATATTCATTATATATTTTTGGGGCCTATTTTTTGGCTCTCTCAACCGTTCCTGTTAGTGTTCTTATGCAGTAGATATTTATATCCCATTGGCTTGGGAGGTAACAGATTGACACTTCATCAATAGCTATTAACGAAAACTTAAATTTAAATATTTTCCTTCAATATACAAGTCTTGCAAATTATTTAGACATGATTATGTCAATTTCTTTAAGACCATCCGAAATTAAGGAAATCAGTAGCTGATGATCCTAATTTTGGATTTAGTTCTTTTAAATCATAGTATGGACATGCAAGATTTTTGCGTTGTAAATACTCGTGATAAAATAAAGCCAACCAACGTGATGGGTGATGTTCCCTTTACCTAAATCTCCCCGGGCATTCTCATGCTTTGTATATTAATCTAGATTCATCTTTGAGTTTGTACTTGTACTTGTTACTAATGATTTGTTAGACGAAACTAGGACTAAAAAGAAAATTAAAGTTAATAGCATTAAAAATAAAGGTATTATATATATATATATATATTTTTAGTATATATATATATATATATATTAAACAAGTTAAATAATAAAAAAATCAAATGAAATTAAAAAAATATCAAATACTAATGTTGCAATGGATTTCTCATCTATTATGCCTATGAATGTATAAGTTGCATAGGGACAGCATAGTTTGACCTAATTGTGCTTTAGGATTTCGTCTCTTAGCTTCCACTAAGTAATCTTTTGCATTAATTGAGCTACTAAGGTTGTTGTATGGCTATCACCTCCTAAGATTATCATTCGTAGACATTGATTGATATGATACACCCATGACAGTGGCACTTGTAGAGAAGCCTAGATGGCCATTTGGTGACCAAAAATGATGTAGAACATAAACATTTCAAATTTAACATTCACCTAGATAGGAAATTAACAATTGTGCTTCGACATCAAGAAAATAAGCATTCAAACTCCTTATTCATAACTACATAATATAAAGTCTTAGAAAGTTATAGGCTGGTGTGCATAAAGAATTCACGTCAATTAAATAAATAGACCAGAAGGAAAAAAAAAAAAAAAAAACCTAACTTTCAAAGTTTATCTTTATCATGAAATAATGAAATGAATTTTTCTTTTGAAGCAAGCAAGCCCGATGTTTTAACACCCATACCTCCAATTTTGTATTTTTTATCAGAACAGAAAATATCATAAAATATCATGACGAGTCTATAGAAACAATCATTCAAAAGTTATAGTATCAGACAAATAAATGTAACGTCATATATAGGTAAGCTGTTTTTCAATAATTATGGAATACTATGCTCAAATATCAAATCCTATATGTCATCAATAAAAAGGTCCCAAACGTCATTATCCGCAACCAAATGCTGAGGCTCACCACAGAAAAAGTAGCCTTGAGATGAATGCAACAATAATGAAAAACAGATGCTGTCCTGGAGCAAAATAGGATTGAACAGAAAGGATACAGAACTTACTCAGTGAGGAAGCTGACTCGTTCTGCAAGCGGGGTGAGGCCTAACAAACTCAATGCGAATATCCATGCCTGCTACCAGAAATCAAGTGTTAACTTGTATCATGAAAATAGTAAAATAAGTTGTATACCAAATTCCTAATAAAAACTGGACATTAAAATAGTGAGAAAATCCAATTAAGCATGTATATTTAACAGGAAAAATAAAAAGATAAGGAGCTTCTCATTAAAAATAATATTTGTCTAGTATTGCAAGAATATTTGTCTTTTAGCTTTTATAGAAATGCTTTACAGTTTATATATATATATATATATAGTTTTCTGTAAACACTTTTGTAGTTTATACAGACAAATTATTGTTTAATTAAGTTTTTTATGGGAGCTCCTGATCTAATCTTCCCCTCTAAATTTACATTTTACAAGCAACCAACAAAAGAAACAAAATACGCATATGGCTGATGCATAGAGATCCGAATTCCAATGCAACTGAAATACATTTCAATATGGACATTTCCATAGTAAAAGCAAGAAAGTAGAAGAATAAAATGCAAAGTTTTCACGTCATCACGCCAGAATGCCTTAGCAAAGAAGTTGTCTCAATTCTCCAGCAATGGTGGTTCATCCAGCATCCTATGCATGACAGGTGAGCTCCGTAGGTTAAACACGTAGCTTGCAACAAAATTCGGGCAGTATATAATATAACCAAGCATTATATAGCTTTGTTTGGGACGACTTTTTTTCTACTTCTTAAATCAACTTTTTAACATAAAAATAATTTTTAACTAAAAAATTACTTTATGAAGCACTAAAAAAACTGTCGCAAACGAACCCACAATAGCAGTGCTGGAATTAAAGAAAGGTCGATGACACTTTCCCCTAAATTTGAAGGAGCCATTACTTGCGATATTCGTAGGTGTGAACAGAGTGCACAGTGTACTCCTATGTACGCACCAATTCAGATATACCTATGTAAATAATAATTTCTGCTAAACTTAAGATGAGTTTTTTATAGTTCTATATAGCACAAAAAGCTATGTTGATCCAAACATATATAATAATATGTATAACGTGAATTGTTACTTGCCCATAATTTTATTGAATACTGAATCCGCTGTTGCATAACATCACATTGACCGCATGCATTTTACATCATTGAAGTCTAAAAATCTGATTTGCTAATCAAATTGCACCAGTACTGAGATTTTATTTGGGGCAGTTTTTTAATAATAATTTTTCACCGCTTTCGGAAAAAAATTTGGGTTAGAAATTTGTTTTACAAGCAACAAGAAAGTTGTTCCAATGAAGGCTAAGGCTTTATTTGGGATAACTTTCAAACTGCTTTTTAAAACGTTTTTTTAGTACAAAAATTTTAAATTCAAGAAAATTTTGAACTAAAAAGTTGTTTTAGAAAGCAAGAAGAAAGCCGTCCCATAGGCTTGTTTAGGACGGCTTTTTTATTGTTTCTTAAAGCAACTTTTGAAAATTTGTGTACTAAAAAATTACTTTAAGAAGTAGTAAAAAAATCGTACCAAACGAAGCTCGCTGAATCTGTCATTCACTTTAATTTGTGTGGTGCACGATTGATTACACCATCCAAGAACTCAGTAAGGGATCGGGCATATATTGCTTTTTATTTTTTTAGGACCAATGATAAGGTTATTTCTTGTCACACTACTCTCAACAGAAAGCATCACCAAACCAAGTCTTAATTCTGCACATAAGGTAATATAAAATGCAGACGCCTAATTGCTCTAGTTACTGTGTGCTACTACAATTCCTTCCTCATAATCTTCGTTCTCCACTTATATATAAATCTAAAAGAGATGGAAAAAAAAGGAACAACAAGCAATTGGTAGCTGGCTTTCGATGTAAATACTTCCCCGCTAACCAAAAAGCCAGAAAAAAGGAATTGGATAAAAGAATTTCCATCTAATACGATACAAAAGCTTTTGTCTGCTTGTAAAGAAAAGAACCAAAGATGTAAAAGCTGAATTCAAGGAAGATTTAAAGGGAAGAAGAAACATTAACTCACGCGTCCGAAGCCGTAGTTCTGCGCAGCAATGGCAAGGGGAACTGCCGGGAAGAGAACGAAAAGCTTCGTCCCAAGAAAAATCTCATGGAGATTAGACATAAAATTGCGTAAAATCCCACACCGGACCTTTGAGAGGAGCGAGAGATCCGATTTCTTGCGAAGCGAGGAGGAGGACATGTTGTGCGCGGTGCGACAATGGCCGTTGCGCATATCCTTGCTCAGACCTTCGCCAACGCTGCCGGGCTTGATGACTTCAGCCTCGTGCAACTCCAAAGCCCCGTGCTCAGTCGAATTCATGGCCTTCTCTTTAGAGGCAATTCGTCGAACGGGTAGTATGCGAAGAGGCGCAGCAACTTCTCAGCTATTGCGTCGCCTGGGACGTACAAAATCCCGCCGTGCTGTATCTAGACGTTTGGACATCTGAGAGAGAAAAGATGGTGATATATAACGGCCAAGAATACAATCCGATCAAGTGAAAAACGAATTATAACAGAGGAGGTGATTTCTGCGAAGGCTCTGTTACAGTGTCGAATTGTAGAAATGCTTTGGTGTGGACATGACATTTTTCATTAATTATACTGTTTTTATCATATCGTTTTTATAAAGCTAACAAAAAATTTTTTTTTTCGTAAGAGATTAAAGAAATTTTGACTTTATATCCCATAATGCTCTTAATGAAAGCAAATTCTGATGAAATTAGTCATCAAATTTTCATAGGTTGATTATGAATTTTAAAGGGCTATTTTTTTTTAATGAAAAAGGAATGTTATATGAAAGAAATGTGGCGTAAAAGAAATACTTTGGAACTATTTTGATGAGAGAAAAAAGAATACACGACTTTTATTTTTTTGTTTAAAGTAAAGTGAATGGGCGGCTATGGAGGAGACAGGGTGGCAACGGCCGGTGTCATGTGGCGGCCGATGATGGCGATCGATAGTGACTGATGCGGGCGGGGCGGCAACCGGCAACCACGGTGGCAGTTGGTCGGGGCAGCCAGCAGGGCAGGTAGCAGGGGAGACAGTGGCTGCAGTGGGTGGTCAAGAAAGAACTCAAGCAGTATAAGATATTCTCGATCAAATTAGGCGAGAATATTTTATCTCAAAAATGAATTAAAAAGAAATACATTACATTTACTTTAACTTGAATTTTCTTTTCATCAAATCAATATCAACAAGTGAAAAAATAATACATTTACTTTACTTTGCATTCATTTTTCTTCCAATCAAAGCCCCTAAGTCATTCGAAATTGATTACTTACATGAATGCTGAGTTTTTAGTTGTTTTTAAATCAATCATCAAAAAAATTCAAAACTCTTGTATTTCTTTTATATTCCGAATATTAGCAAGTAAATAACCCCTAAAAATTTAAGATTAGTTGTTCAATAACAAATAAAAATAATCAATAAATCAGATTTTGATTGACACTACAAAATAAATTAAAATTAGTAAGAAATCAGATCATACAATTTTAATAGATAATTTTGAGGAATCATAAATCTAATTTGTATTAAAAAATTAGTTAAGAGAAATTTTCCTCTAAAAATCCAACATTTCACTCCATTTTAAAACAATAGAAAAAATGTTAAGCAATAAAAAATAGTGACAAAAAATTAACAGAAAAGCTTTGTTTATTGTGGGAACGATAATTCATTCAGCCTTATATTACCTATTTTATTCAGCAAAAGTATTCTGCCTTTTAAAAATAGATAACAATTCTCTCATAAGCAGAAGCAGATAGGATCCATCAAAATTTTATGACGCAATTTGGATAAATAAGAGAGAGAGAGAGAGAGAGAGAGAGAAAGGAGATAAGCCTTTATCATATCCACTAAAAGCCAATCAACAAATTAAAGGCTTGGTTTACAGTAAATTATAAACTATTTATATATCACGTAGTAATTAATTATTTAATTGGAGCAACAGAAAGTGATTTTTGAACCCAACCACGTGCTTATTTATTTCACATCTTTACATAGAATAAGAATTAAATGCCTACCAAAAATAATGAATATCTCAACGACTCCCCACTATAATAATGTCAATTTTATTAATCTAGCATGCCGCAACTGAAAGCCTTGGCCAATTTGGAAGGGGGGAAAAAATTGCTCTCAATCCTGCCTAATTTAAGAATGATCTCACACAAAAAATTGGCTTGGTCGGACACGGATCTTGATGCATATTTAAATTGAAAGTTTTCAAAATTAAATTCAGTATTATCCAAACTTTAATTTTACTGAACTTATAATAAAACTAAATGTCCTGACGAGATAACCCAAAAATATTAAAATCTATCCAATCGTTGCCTAAATGCACTCAAATCAGAGGTTTAAAATATATTAGAAAGCTTCATAATATTAATTGGGTGATCAAATGATATCAAAATATAACATGTGTTTATAATCGAATCGAGCGGCTCAATGTGACAACCCAGGATCACTTAACACTGGCATCATTAAGATACTTAAATACTCAAGAAACATTGTGATCGAGGGGAACAATGCAGGCCGTCGGCTGAAATGCCTATATTTGCTTCATATTTTCACTATTTTTATTGAGCATGTCAGTCCAAAAAATCTATAAATAGATCTCTACTCTCTACATGAAGATGAGATTGGATCTTGGGCTAGATATTCAAGAGAGCTTTGAGGCTTAAAGAATTCTGAAACACAATCCAAGCACTGCCGTCGGCTAATCCTTGCCACTTTGACGTTGCTGCCAGACTTTCACAAGCCGATCATTATCGGATGTCCACTCAGTCATAGTTGCCATCACAACTAGATATTTGCCAACCATCATCGTTAAACCTCTGCTTTTCCTCTATTGTTGAATCTCTTACACCCCTCTCCTATTCATACCTTTCATCATTTGACCACCACCATCAAACCCTCTGTTGACTACCATCCTTCAACCTCAATCACCTGACAATGGTCCTTCCGACCTTCATCAACTACCAACTACATTCCCTTCAATCATCATCACCTAACTATGATCCCTTCAACCTCATTCGCCCAACTACGACCCCTCTGACTACCATCACCCAGTTGTGACCCCTCCTACTTCAGTTGCTTGACTATGGTCCCTCTTATTATTGTTGTCCGACTACCATCCCTCTCACAGTCCCCTTTAATCACGGTCGCCTGATTACAATCTCTTAAACCTTCATCGTTTGACTATGGTCCTTGAGACCATCGTCACCCAACTACGGTCCCTCTGACATCTAATGCCCAAATACTATCCCTCCAACCATAGTTGCCTAACTATGGTCCATTCAATCTTAGTCACTCTACTTCAGTCCATTCGATCTTAGTTACTCGACTACGATCCCTTCGATCTTAGTCATCCGACAATGGTCCCTTTGGTCACTGTCACATGATTACGGTCTCCGTCACCTAGCTACCGTCGACCTCTGTCAATCGACTAGGATCCCTAAAACCTCAATCACCTGGTGATCTGTCAGAACTTTGTCACTCATGCCAACTACTATCCCTCCAACCTCTGTCATCCTACTATGGTCCTGTCGACCAAACAAGCATGCCAATGATATCTTAAAAATATATTTGATTTCATTGTATTTTTTCCAACTCCAATCATATAATATGCTCTATACGACATATATTTGCTACATTGTGTCAAAGCGTTCTCTTCGAGGAATGACATCATTTACAATTCAATGATAAGCACTACTATAATCATTTCAACTAGGTTAGGACCCATGATTTTTCTTTTTCTTTTTAGGTTTTCCACAAAAAAATATGGTGTCTCTTATGATTCTCACATCTCTCTATCCCCATATATGTGTGTGCTGAATTTTTACATAAATTTATGACTTTAAATTCTATATCTCTCTACTACCATTAATGTTCTAGCATGCAACAAAGAAAAAAAAAAGAGAGATATTAAACTTTAAGAGCTTTTATTTAAAGTTTGCATAAATAAATTACAATGTTAATTATGACCTATTTCAGACTATATATGACACCACACATGTTAGTTGATGGTGCCATGGCCTTGTATCTTCTATATATCCTTTGGTTCCATGTTGGACTCTTTGAGCAAGTCATTCATTGATTAATTAATGCCCTAGGCAATTCCTTTGGATGCGACATATAGGACATGTTTATATGAGCGAGTCCTTTAAACTCAAAGGTCAGTCCAAGGATGGTGTCTTTCATCCACTTGATGCAAAAGACGAGTCCTGCGCGAGGTGGTGACTACTATGAGTTGACGATTATTTGAATTTAAGATATCGTACATAATCTTGATCCCTTGAAGTGTGCACTTCTTGTAGCTCGCAAGATCAAAGGATATTAGTGGTGAATCATTGGTGTGTATGATAGCGAGTGGCCTTGGAAACCCAATCTATGTTGAGGTGAGTGCCTCTCTTGAGTCTTGAGAGAATCTATATGAGTCCTTTGATGTACATGTCCAAGGCAACTTCTCAATCTGGTTGATTTGGATAAGTCTCGCACCCCCCCCAGCCAACTACCCTAGGCAGATGATGTGACAACTTGGGTGAGTCCTCCTAGAACTAGTTAGACACCTCTAAAATACTTATATGGATATATACAAATATTCAACTATTTAGACAAAAATTATGTGAGATAACTTAAAAATTCATTCATCAAAACTAAGAAAAACATTTTATTTGGAATAAACCAAGAACCACTCATCGAGATAAAAAGAAACTCTAGTTCTCATGTACTTAACAGACTAAACTGTCAGCACATTCCTATTCCAATTTAATTTAGAATTACCTTTTTTTTTTTGGGACATTTAGGCCATTTAAGGCAAATTCACACACACAACGCATACACAAAGACTCGAATCCTAAACCTCTTGGTTGGAAGCCTAAGCTCTCAACCAACAGGCCAAGATGAGCTGTGTAATTTAGAATTACCTAAATCAAAGTTTTTTCCTCAAAAACACCACAAACGACACTATTTAGAACTCGAGCTAACATTCCGAGCGCTATTATATTTTATTGGGCATTGCAGTCCTCACTTGATACCAATGGCCTTGCATGCAGGATTTCGCTTAAATGCTTAAAACGTCAAATGTTCCTAAACCGTGCGAAGCTTCTCTGCAATTTCTTCATTACAATGGACCTGCTCGATTGAAGGGACGGAGCTCCGGCGAACTCTTTGGCTTCGCCAGTTTGCATCACCGACAATGTTAATTGACGGCGAAGCACAATTAAAGCGCCGGCCACCTTTTACACGGCACAGATATATATACGCACGTAACAGATGTGAGTTTCGTCCGGCTAAGCCCTATGCTGTATGAACGGACGAGGACGAAAGCTCTATGTCAGTGGCGTGTTAAATGCATTTTTTATTTTAAGTTTCTGGTATATTATATAATTATTGTATAATTTTTTTTTAATATTTTTTATTATGTCATTATGTGCCAATCATTTATTTTTATATCTACAGAAATTTTTTTTCTCCAAAAAAAAAGTGGGTGAAAAAGATTTATTTTGTCCTTTAGTTGGGACCACATTGAAGACTTGATTGGACGCAACTCAATTTGGCCTCGTTAGTTGGGAGCTTTGGCTATCAACTAAGATG